ATGGTGGTAGTTGTGATAATGATCGCAGTAGCGAAGAAAAATCTGATGATGATGATGATGATGTTCTCATAGTACTGAAGTGTCGTTGGAGGGGTCAGTATTAGCATTGCAATAGTCGGGATGATATATTCATCATCATCATCATCGTCTTCATCATCATTATCATCATCGTCCTCATCACTATCATCATCATCATCACCACAATCATCATCATCGTCATCATCACCATCATCGCCATCATTGTCCTCCTCACAATTATCATCACCATCATTATCATCGTCGTCATCATCATCACTATCATTATCATCATCATCATAATCATCATCACCATCATCATCACCGTAGTGGTAGTAGTAGTAGTCTTCGCTGCCAAAATAATCAGCTGCAGCAACAACAACGTCATCATCATCATCATCATCCTCGTCATCATCATCATCCTCGTCATCATCATCACCATCGTCATCATCATCATCATCATCGCCATCATCATCGGGTTTTTCCCAAGCAGTTATACATGCTCCTCAGTTGGCCGGCTAATATATTGTTATATCTATCGATTTGTTATGCGCCAATGCTAAAACATTTACGCGCCTTTAGAGATGATGATGATGACGACGACGATGATGATGACGATGATGATGACGATGATGTCTATTTTATTATTATTATTATGATTATCAAATAATTATAACCAATATTCATATCGAAATGGCAAGAATGGCATGTCTTTAAATGTCATTTTGTCAATTAAATTCAGCACTATGTATATATATATAAATTCATCATCATCATCACTCCATCATCATCACCATCGTCATCATCAACCAGACCTTTTGTGATTGGTGAGATGAGTAGCAGGTTCACCAGGATTGCTCCGCCATCCCTGCCCATGACCGTGACGTCAGAGGAGTTTCCGCCAAACACTAATATGTTTTCTCTGATTGGTTGGTTGGTTGGTTGGTTGATTGTTTGATTGATTCATTCATTCATTGATTCATTCATTCATTGATCGATCGATCGATCGATCGATTGATTGATTGATTGATCGATCGATCGATCGATCGATCGATCGATCGATTGATTGAATGATTGATTGATTGATTGATTGATTGATTAATTGATTGATTGATTGATTGATTGATTGATTGATTGATTGATTGATTGATTGATTGATTGATTGATTGATTGATTGATTGATTGATTGATTGATTGATTGATTGATTGATTGATTGATTGATTGATTGATTGATTGATTGATTGATACCTTATATATTGTAACCCTGCTATGATATCTAGAATCGCCATATTGCCTGGGGCGTGGCTCGTGCCTGTACTAAAGAATCCTGATTGGTTTTTTTTATTAATTTTTTGATCGGTTATTTGATTGGCTGGGTGATTTGTCGATCGGTTATTTGATTGGCTGGGTGATTTGCTGAGTGATTGCTTGATTGGTTAATTGAAGTCGTTTGGCTGAACTAACTCAAATACAATAAAATAAAAGACACTAAAAAAGAATAAACAAATTAAACTTTGGATATTTAATTAAACTAAAAAATAAAACTCCAAATGAATGATTTCTTTTTCACATGGGAAAAGTGAATTTAACTTGCAGAAGAAAATTGCAATCATTGCCAATGCGGTTTAGACACGAAAATGTATAAATTAATTACTATTACTATTACTTCCAGTACCACTATTACTATTACCACCACAACTACTACTACTGCTGCTGCTACTACTACTACTACTACTACTACTACTACTACAACAACAACTATTACTACTACTACTACTGCTACTACTACTACTACTGCTGCTGCTGCTGCTACAACTGCTACTACTACTACTACTACTGCTGCTGCTACTACTGCTACTACTACTACTACTACTACTCATTTTTAGCAGGTCGTAAAACAACCAACCAAAAACTCCTAATCTGTAGTTTAGCGTGATCACCATGATATTTCCGGCGGCCGCCATGACACTTCCGTCGTAGGCATTTCCGGTTCCGGTTTCCAAAGATTCTCCATGTACGAACAATAGAACTGGTAGTAGTCTGACGTCACTTCCTGTTTGATGAATGGATGGGCAAATAAATTGAATGAATGAATGGGCAGCATAGATGAATGAATGACCAAACGAATGAAAGAATGAAAGAACGAATGAATGGATGGATGAGCGAATGAATGAATGAATAATATAAAAATATCATTATAATCATCAATATTATTAATGAAGTTTATGGTCACGCTAATTACAAAAATAACTAAGACAATTAACGGAAGAACGGACTGGATGGAGCTGACGATTGGCTGAGAAGCGCGAGTTGAAACCACTACAACCATTAAAATATTAATATAAATTATAAAAAATCGAAAAAGCAAAAGAAAGAATTAGTGCTTCAGTAATCAAAAGTGATCGGAAAAAACTCGAAACTACACAATTCCGAAAAAAATTTATTTCAAGAAAATAAAAAAATTAAAAAAAAATCAAATGAGGAAACGTTTTTCCGACAGAAAAAAAACAAAATAAGAAAGTAAGATTTTTTAGAAGTAGAGAAAACTATTTAAAAATATCTCCGGCTCCAGAATGACGTCACAAAGGATTTTTCTCTGTCACACTAAAACAAACTTGGGAAGAAATTTTTTTGGTTTCGAGAAAAGTGAATTATAAAATTTATTAGTTCCTCATCCAGTAAAATAGCTAAAAATTTCTTCACTCAATAGTAATAGAGTAACTGGAAGTATAGGCTATAGTACAACAACAAATACACAAAATTCAATTCATCTTGCAGACGCAATTGAAAGTATTTGCGTTTT